CAAAAATGCTCTACTCTCATGGATATCAAACAATTGCAAACACAACACGAGTTATCAAAAAAAAAAAAAAAAATTATATATATATATATATATATGTTTTTTGTGTTAAATATATGTGTGGATCAATTATTGGAACCCTTTTAGTCAATACTTAGTGCTATCTGTATGTATTATGCTTGCCAAATGCCAAATACACATATTTGCATATATACTATAAAACGACTACAAGGCATCCTGTCCCACTGGACAAAATGATCAAACCAAATGATGAACCATATTTGCTGTTGAGATTGAGCAATGGACATAAAAGCTATGTATATATTTTTCCTAGCACATTTATCCTCATATTGTATGCCTGTGTGCTGTGGTCTATAATAACCTGATTACTGACTGGTAATGCAATACAATCTTTGAAACACAAGCACAAAACACATTACCATATATACTCGAGTATAAGTTGAGTTTTTCAGCAAATTTTTTGTGCTGAAAACCCCCCACTCGACTTATACTCGAGTCAATGTCTGTATTATGGCAACTTACATTGCCATAATACAGACCAGGACCGCAGAGCTCATTACAAGCCCGGCGGTCCTGTTGGGGGCTGGCAGCGAGCTGTTACTTACCTTTCCTGCAGCTCCTGTCAGCTCCCTTCTCCTCCGCTGTAAGTCTTGCGAGAGCTGCGGGGTCAGAGCATTGCCACGGGTTACCGTGGCAACGCTCCGCGCGGCACTCAGACCGCGAGACTTACAGGGGAGCTGACCGGAACGCAGGAGAAGGGAGGTGACAGGAGCTGCAGGAAAAGTATGTTACAGCCTTCTGCCAGTCCCCCTCGTACATAGCCCATCCACTGGACCACCAGGGGATAATATAAAATTAAATAATAAAAAAATAATATTACAATAAAAAAAAATTAAAATATTAAAATTAAAAAAATGCAAATAATAAAATAAAAAATAATATTAAAATAAAAAAATATTAAAATAAAAAATGTAAATATTAAAATAAAAAAATGTAAATATTAAAATAAAAAATTAAAAATTATAAAAATGCCCTCCCCCCCACCCAGTTCACACACACTTCACACACACAAACACACAAACACACACTCATACAAACACACACACTGCATTATATACACACACACTCATACAAACAAACACTCTGCATTATATACACACATTCATACACACACACACTCTGCATTATATACACACACACTCATACAAACACACACACTCATACAAACACACTCTGATTATATACACACACTCATACAAGCACACACTCTGCATTACATACACACACACACACACACACTGCATTCACACAAACACACACACTCTGCATTATATACACAGAGTGTGCGTATATAATGCAGAGTGTGTGTTTGTGTGAGTGTGTGTGTATAATTCAGATTGTTTGTATGAGTGTGTGTGTATAATGCAGAGTGTGTGTTTGTATGAGTGTGTGTGTATATAATTCAATGTGTGTGTTTGTATGAGTGTGTGTGTATATAATTATAAAAATCACAGAATTTCATAGCCCCAAGTTTTACCCTCGACTTATCCACGAGGCATAGCATATTTCACAACTGTTGGTCACAAAACTGCACTCGACTTATACATGAGATTGACTTATACACGAGTATATAGGGTATATAATATTGTTCTCATCAAATAAGCCAAAACATGATGAAAGTCAATAATAATAATAATAATAATAATAATAATAATAAAAACTTTAAGAAGCAAGGACAACATAAAACACAACCTTTATGTGCATTGGTGATTTAAGAAATAAATTGTGTGTTAAATGCATTAAAGATCTTATACTAGTTATTTTTAAGATAATTTATCATAAAATATGCAAATTACTACAGAAAGAGCCATGCTGTTATAACAATTTTTAAAAGATAGCTGGAATGTTGTATGTGTAGAGTTATTTATCTGATATAAAGCAATGCAATTACAAATAAGCAATCTTACACATTACATGAAATATGAAACAACTCCTGTGTAATTCAACAAAGTGCTATATAAATACAGGTTACCCTTATTGGTGGGATACTCCAGGCAGCCAAGGTTCAAGAATGCATCGAGAAAACACCATGAAAGCAAAGCATTATGATTTTTCTACATGAATCCAGATGCATGGATTTAAAAAACAAAACAAAAAAAAACTCTTGACCTGAGTGGTCACTTTCACAATAAGATGATAGAGATGGGCTGAAATAACCTGCATAGCTATCTTACAATAGCTCTGTTGTCTGCCAATCACAACTCCATGTAAATAACTTTCCAATATCTATCACCCACCATTTCCAATATACCCAGCATGGCACCCCCAACATTCATCACAGCCATATTTCAAAAACAACACTTCTGTGTCAAACACAACATCTGTCAAGTCCTGTTTGCATTGAAATGTCCTGGAGTCTGAGTGCTCAGTATCACTTTTGCAAAGTCCAATAATGCAGTACAGATAAGGAGCAGCTAAAACAGTCAGGATAAGCAGGGTTGGCAGCAAAGGTTTATAAATGGTAAAGCTCCAGGTCAAAGATAATAATTGCATCAGGATACTGGATACACGGAACATAAGCTCAAGCTATAGAGTGTCAAGCAATAAGCATCAAAAAGTCATTTTAGCGGTGTTATATAGTAAGTGATTGAGATACTATGCTGAGACTAGGTAGTACAACATAATTCTGCGTGTTGCAGTAATAGTATGACAATACAGCTGCATAAAATGGTGCAATATGGTACTGTATGCAAGTAGGCATTGAAAAATTACTCAATGTGGAAAATAATAATACCATTACTGGTGTCTTACATCCTGATAAGTCCATTATCACAGTGTGCATTACATAAGATGCTATAAAGTTAGAGCTTTTTTGGGGTCTACAAGTAAGTGTACGCACAACAATTTATTAGGGTGTGCACCCGCAGATGCTTTCCCTATGTTATATTTTCATGTTATATATGGAGAATATTTATTCAAAGTGGGTTAACTGTGTGTGTTGTATAGATTAGGGGGCTGTAGGTGTTGTTGCATCTATGTATGTGGTGTGTAGAATAGATTGCCTGAGTGTGAAGCATGAGTAGTTGTGAGCAGGGATGGAATTCCCATTAGATACTTGTCCACTAGAAACGTTATTTTTCAGCAATTATAATGTGCCTTTTTGAGCGGAGAGAGATATGTACCAGAAGCATTGGTCAGTGTCACCTGTAGTTCAGTCAGCCTTAATAACAGACCTGCAGAAACAGTTTTAGAGGGTGAAAAACTCAGTGCTGTCCCAGCTCCTACAAGGTCTGTATGTAAGGCTTGACAGGAAGCAGAAGGGACCACTTCCCATCTGCCCAATAGTAACCTCTCACACAGGAAATGCATTGCAGGAGGAGCAGCGCAAGCTGTAAGTGTTACACACCGTATAAACATTCCATAGAAGGCTTACTGCTCTACAGAAGATATAGAGTGGTCAGTACTTTACAAATAACCCTTCAAACTCCAGTACTCAAAAGTTGACCTAAATATACCCTTTGTCTAAGTCCTATGCTTAACTCCTTTTAAAAAATAAACATTATATGTTCCCCAATACAAAGTTTAACCCAACACTAGCCCTAAACTCAATAATCATAAAACATGGGGGTTCCTAACCCTGTATGCATTTACACAGCTGTACAATTTCACTATACTCTAAGACCCAAACACAATACATTGCAAGTAGAAATATGCTCATACATTTATACATATGCAGTTGTCAAATATGAATATATTTTTTAAATTTAGGCTTGCAATGTGCAGTTAATAAATGAATTTTACTTATTTATACTGCTTTTTGGGGTTCGGGTTATAATGAGTGTTGCTGTGTGTGTAGCAGTGATAACTGTGAGTTGTGTGCGTTTCTCTGTGTGGGTAGCAATTAAGGAGTGTGCAAACAGTGTGTTGTAGATTTGTATGCTGAGTGTGATGAGAGAAGGGCAGCTGTGTTTGTTCCAGTCTTCTAACTAATTACAAAAAATGTGCAGAAAATGATGCTGTTTGTTTTGGTCAGGTGGGATGATTTTGTGGTTCCTCAGTAGTCTGGTGGGAGGAGCTTGTGAGCTGCACTGCCTGGGGTGCAGACCACGTGCTCCCTAGCAGCAGTGAGAAAACACAGAGAATGATAAACAGATAATGGTATGAAATCAATTAGCAGACTATGTAACAGGTATTTTATCAGATTTTTTTTGCATCACTAGATAGATGGTCAATGAAATACTAGAAAAGACTTGCTATCATGACAAGAAACAACAAACAATGCGTCGATATTTAATCCAGACATTGTTGAAATGAAATACGCTGACTTGCTTTTTATCTATCCTTCCTTGTGCTTTGCCACTTTCAATAAGGCTGGCCTGGTGACTATGAACAATAGGTCCTATATTAACCCCATCTACAGCAGGAAACTCAAATGCCCAGCCACATGTGTTACAATTGCTGGTTAATATGAGCGTGATAGGAGTGTTGTCATTAGTGGATATACTCTTTGTTTTTAGAGGTCTGTGCATCTTGATAGCCAGTGCATTCACTCAGTGATGTCAATGTGATCTAATATTTTGTAAGAAAGCAGAGAAAGGATGAGGTAAATGGCAAGTTCACCTTGTTCACAACTGCACCATCTTAACAAATAACATCGAATGTGATAGCAGATAAGAACTATTCGGCACATCTAGTCTGCCAAATGTTCTAAATACTTTAACTCTAGGATAGCTTTATGCCTATCCCACACATGCTTAAACTCCCTCACTGTGTTAACCTCTAGGCTATGCGTCCTCTACCCTCTCTGCAAAGTAATACTTCCTAAAATTATTTTTAAACCTTTTCCCCTCTAATCTAAGACCTCTTGCTGTGGTAGTTTTTCTTCATTTAAATATAGTCTCCTTTAATGTGTTGATTTCCTTTATGTATTTAAATGTTTCTATCATATCCCCCCTGTCTCGTTTTTCCTCCAAGCTATACATGTTAAGATCCTTTAACCTTTCCTGGTAAGTTTTATCCTGCAATCCATGAACCAGTTTAGTAGCCCTTCTCTGAACTCTCTAAGGTATCAATATCCTTCTGGAGATACGGTCTCCAGTACTGCGTACAATACTCCAAGTGAGGTCTCACCAGTGTTCTGTACAATGGCATGAGCACTTCCCTCTTTCTACTGCTAATACCTCTCCCTATACAATAAGCATTCTGCTAGCATTTCCTGCTGCTCTATTACATTGTCTGCCTAGTGCCTACCTTTAAAGGACCACTCTAGGCACCCAGACCACTTCAGCTTAATGAAGTGGTCTGGGTGCTAGGTCCAGCTAGGGTTAACCCATTTTTTTTATAAACATAGCAGTTTCAGAGAAACTGCTATGTTTATGAATGGGTTAAGCCTTCCCCCTAATCCTCTAGTGGCTGTCTCATTGACAGCCACTAGAGGCGCTTGCGTGCTTCTCACTATGATTTTCACAGTGAGAGCACGCAAGCGTCCATAGGAAAGCATTATGAATGCTTTCCTATGTGACCGGCTGAATGCGCGCGCAGCTCTTGCCGCGCGTGCGCATTCAGCCGACGGGGAGGAGAAGAGGAGGATCGGAGGAGGAGAGCTCTCCGCCTAGCGCTGGAAAAAGGTAAGTTTAACCCCTTTTCCCCTTTTCAGAGCCAGGCGGGAGGGGGTCCCTGAGGGTGTGCTTTCCTGGCACTATAGTGGTCCTTTAAGCCATCTGGAATAATTACTCTTAAATCCCTTTCCTCAGATGTTGGTAGGGTATTAAATATTCTATTCTCTATATCCACATTAAATGTTAGTTTCCACAGCTCTGATTTTAGATGTTCCACAATCCTATCCTTTAACATGCTTTCCATCACTTTCCCCACTACTGAAGTAAGGTTTACTGGCCTATAGTTGCCCGACTCCTCCCTAATACCTTTCTTGTGAATGGGTACAACATTTGCTAATTTCCATTCTTCTGGGTAACTTTTAGTTTTTTACTATTTTGGCAATTTTGCTAAGCACAATCTTAACAAATAACAAATTTTCAAGGTGTCAAAGATCAATAGTAATAATGGCAGTAGAGAATGCAAGCTTGTACTTTTCTGACATATTATACTAAAAAGGCTATTAAGTCAACTTTGGATACATCAGCCTCAGCAATAAACTATAGGTGAGGATACTAGCTTGTTAAAAGAAATGGAACAAAAGCCTCTTTTAGAAAGAAGAGAAAAAATGATGAAAACTGCAGAAAGTCATTAAGATGTATATACGCATTAGGTGTAAGGTCTGCTAGGAAGAAGTGATAATGTACTGGTTTTTAATGTGATCTAAGGTTCTAATGCAAGCTAGATTTCATGCAGTTGTATGATCAATCAATAAAGTATGTGATTACTGTAGATATTATGGAACTGAATTATTCAGTATCAGATAGCAAAAAAGGACACCACGAGGTTAATAAGTAAAAACTTTTCATGGATGTTTGAAAGAGAAAGAGTGAAAAAGCAGGAGATGAACATGGAAAGGACAGATAGAACAGACAATTGCAGAATGATAGAAAGTGTGAGCAATACTGAGAGAGAATGTTGAATGCGAATGCAAGTGAGATATACCTGTGTTTGTTCACTAAACAGCAATTAGTAGTAAGCTGGCAAGCAAAATACAAATAGTGTACCTGTAGATTCCTTTCCAAATAAGTAATTAAGGCATATATTTTTAGCCTAATTCTCAAGTATTTTAGTAAAACCCCTAACTGAAAAAAAGACAAGTTGATATAGCATGATGGGATTAGGTGAAGCAGTAATTTTAGAGGAATTTCTTTATAGGAACACGGTGATATGTGTTGATGAAAGACTCATTGTCTTATAAATTGAGTTCTTTGATTAGTAGCTGATTTGATAAGAAAGTCTTTCTCTGCAGTGATGGGATGTCGCAGTGATTTCTGCAGTAGGATGGACCTTGCAAAAAGCAATAAAGATTTGAGATTGCAAGAAATGCATATTAATGAGGCCCAAAACTCAGAAATCAAATGCATTATTGTGGTAATGGTGTCAGAATATACCTTTAACACTAGTATCCTAAGCTCCAACTCCCAGAGGGCAGAGGAACTGGTAGAGGCCATTTACTGGGCTTCTAATTGATTATTTAGTACCCATTAAACAGCGTGGAGAGAACTGTAGATGCCGTGTTCTTGCTCCCTAGCTAGTTAACGCTACCTTCCACCACCTCATGTTCTATAAAATCTGAGGCTGGTTAGAGGAGGGGGAGTGAGAGAGAGGGAGATTGGGTGGCATGGAGGGTGGGAAATGTAAGGATAAAAAAAAGCAATATTGAGGGGTTAGGTAGGCAGAAGGGGAACAAATTGCATTTTTTTGTCACATTCTAAAGGGTTAACACAAACATCACAGCCCATTGTAGTGGTTATGATTGAAGTAGTTTGATGGCCCATGAACTAAACATGATGGTTTGAGGATTGATGGGAGAACATATCCCTATTTTATAAAATATAGAAACATTTTTATACAAGGTAATCATATTTAATAAGCAATCTGTTACATCATTTAACACTTACTCTGTGTTTATTAAATGATATAAGGATGATGTATTTATATTATATATAAATTAACATAATCCTTAAATTGTGATTATAATTAATATTGAATTCAACAATTAATGGTTATACTAAACATACTGTGAATGTCTACTAGAACATTTAGATAAGATTACAAAAGACACAATGTTGTTTTTTTTTTGCCAAATTAAATTATTTATATTGCTCAGCTGGGTGCTACAAATATGTGACGTGTAGTTAGTCAAGAGCCGTGTGTATAGTAACCACAGCATGTATGCATGATAATAATTAAAATAAGTTGGTGTTGAAGAAAACAACATAATGTTGATTTTGTGCTACTTAACAGCAATATCTTCTTAGAGTTACTCTTTGTAATTTTCTTCTCATTTTTTATTTTGCAATTAGAAGTCTTATATATATACCTCCCTGTCACAGGTGCCTCATCCCAGGGCCCTATTTAGCCTTGTACTGCAGAGAGCCCCAGATGGAATTTTTTTCCCCAAGTAGGGTAATCTCATAAGAGCAGACATTAGGCTGTTAGTGTAGGACCTGCCAAAGATGGGGTACATTGACGTTGTGGCAGGCTTATGCAGTGTATGATCATATAGTGTAACTAAACCCCCATTGTTTTTGCCTAGATTAGGTGTTTTTAAAAAAACAAATAAAATCTTTCAACATTGAAGTTGCTGTTTAGTGGATAGGTGAGTGCGCTGGATCTTGTGTATTGTATTATTTGGCCCCCAGCAGCACCCCCATTTATGCATGTTAAGGTGAGTGCAGCCAACCCCCTCTTGTTTTATATATATATATATATATATATATACTGTCTCCGGTAATAGTCTCAGGAAAGCCACCTGCCTTTTTGACCAAGTGGGCATTCCAGTGTCACCTAAGAAAATGGAAGGCCCAGACACTATCAAAACTTCCAAGGTATTCAATTAGATTCCATTATCATGCAGGCCAGGGGCATGTGTCTCCCTACTTAAATGGACTCTTTACCTTGCTCCACACTGTTCGTGGTCTAGCGATTTGTATGGCCCTCCCACCACTCCCACTACTTAACATATCCTCCTTTTTTTCCTCCTTTTACCTTTGAGTGGGCCCTGTTATTTACAGGCCCTACCGCATCGTCGGTTCTGGCACACCACAACCGACTTGCTCTCTTATTCTAAACTACTCCTCTGTATGTTCCCACCCCGCAAACCATGTTTCTTTGAATAGTCCTTTAAAGTATAATAAAGTATAATAAAACTTACTTTGTATCTAGGGCCAGGTCAAGTCTTCTCTTCTTTTGTAATGCCCCTTCATCTTCTTCCTTGGTCTGGTTCAATCAAATGTTTCTCATAGAGAAGCATTGATGAACCTTTGGCACATGTATGGCAAGCACCGTGAATGTACCAATCAGCTTCTTCACATAAAAATTAATTGAATTCACTGCTTTTCAATATGAAACACTGAACAGCATACCCCACATGTGTGCGCTGTGCATGTTCACAGAGTTTATGTATTTTTGAAACTAGAGTATGAATGACTGAGGGGCTAACCTGTAAAAGTGCTATTTTAAGAAAAACACTATAGAAAAGCGAATAACCATTGCAAATTAATAAATTGAAGTTTCTATTTTTCAGTTACGGTAGAATTATATCCTGAATGAAGAAAGTGTATTAGTCTTTTAAAACTGATAGAATGAATAGGATGGATTGATTATAATTGACCTTATGTTTAAAAAATATATTTATCTCTGTTTTGTTTATGCATTTGTGTCATAACCATCATGCCTTTAAATATTAAATGACATCATTATTACTGAACAAAGAATGTGCATTATTTATTAACTACGAAAGTCTCTCTATAATAAGTCATTTAATAATTATTGCAATTAAGTTCTGATTGTTCTATCTACAAAAAACTATAGTAATAGATCACTGATAATGTTCTAATTAAGTATGAACAAAGCAGAGCGAGAGACCTAAAGTGATTTTCTTCTTTATCATAGTAACCTCTCTGTGTACAGAAAAATAGATTGCAGGTTATTGTAATTAGTATCTCCTCCTCTTGAATCTACTACAGATCATTCCATTTATCTTATGGTTGGTACCGTGACTGTGTTTCAAGAAGGAGTTACAAACCATTGTTAACTCCATTTACACAATAAATCAGTCCGTACTTTAAATGAAAACTGTGTTTTAATAATAATGCAAATAATAATAAAACGATATGGAAGAATACAATATGTCAGTTATTTATTGTGCACCTTTCTCCTCGCCCCCCACAAAATGACACTGTAAGATTCTAGATATTAAATTATCTTTACCATATACAGGGCAAACAATAAACAGACAGACTTGTTTAAGGTAAATCGAAGCTGAGACTCGGGATTGTAGTTGAAGTTAATTTAAGCTCAGAAAAGGCCAATTCTCCCAATTATAATTACACTCCACTTGAAAAAATATATGATTCTCAGAAACATACATTAATACTTTCTAGCATTTGTGCCATTACAATGCAATCTCTTTTACAACATCATTTTCACTATACTTTAACTCTTCAGCTTTAAATGATTTTATATCAACTATTTTATCGATCTTATGGTTTTTGTTTGGCACCTATAACTTCTCATATCAACATCAG